CCGGGCAGAGATTTGGAAAACTAACGTTGACTGCAAAACAAAATCAGCGCTAAACCTTGCACAGGGTTGTGAATTCTAGCCGTGCAGTGTTAACCCAGGGCCAATAGGGTGAATGGGACACCAGCTCTACCTGGGAAGCGGCCTACCACCTCCTGTGTTCTGGCCCTTGTCAAGCTCAGGAAACACAGTGCCACAGGCACTGCCTTTTTTGGATTTACTCCTCGTTTTCCATTACAGCAGTCCTTGCGCTCTTCCAGGAGAATTGGAATGCAGCTGGTCCTTGGTGTCTACACTGTCTTCTCCCTAAAAGTTTCTTTGCTGCTGTTTCTGGCATGGCTCCTACAATGGCAGCACAGCTATGGACAAGATGGTGGAGGTGGTACTTACTTTCTAGTGCTGATCAAAGCACAACTATGAGGACTGGGGTTTTTTCAGCATCAGCAGCTACCAGTCCTTTGTTGTCTGGTGTTACTGCCAGTGACTTAGCATTAATGTTGGCAGTGTGTGAAATTTTAGGGAATGTAGACCGATGTATAGACGAGGCCCTCTGCTTAAAAGGAATGATCCTTTTTTACTATAAGGTGGTATCATAATGGTCATAAAAAAGGATTCACTTCCTCACATCTCCAAAATGCAGTCATTGTGAATTATGTGTGTTCCTTGAAGCTTGCTGAGCTTCTAGGAGCAGTCTCCTCAGAAAAATGTAGATCTCACTGCCCTCTTCGTCATCTTAATAGGGACCCTTTGACTTGACTTTTTCCTTTGTCCATGGTGTACCATGGTACCTGCATTATCCTTGGCATTATCTTAGATGTAATATCATAAACTGAGAGATTATCCTGTCTGTATTCAGTGTTTTCATGCAGCAGTTTTATTTTTGTTGATGTTCACAGTACTGTAATAAGTAATAGACTTGATGATCACTCTCGCATCTGTGCCTGCCTTGCAGATGTGATCTTATCAGGGTTCCACTCTGTCAGATTGCCTTTAAAAAAAAAAAAAGGAAAAAAAAAAAAAAAAAGAAAATCTGAAGTTTAAACTCATTCACAAAAATACCTCGTGGTACATTTCCCCTTCTGATGTAACCTTTTAAATCTTACCTTTTCTTGTAAACTTAACGGGCTTTTATTTCCACCTGTTATCTCCTTTCTAAAAAGATGAACTAGTGGTTTTGAGCACAGGACCAGAAGCCTGGAACTCCTGAATTTTAACATTGGCCCTTACTCTTCCCTTGCCTTGGGCAAGTCATTTAACTTTTTTGCCTTTGTTTTTTCATCTGTAAAGCGGGGGTGATAATAATACTTAACCTACCTCACAGGGGTTTTGTGAGGATCAACTAGTAAATGTTTGTAAAGTGCTTTAAAGATAAAAAGCATGATAGAAGTGTTACGAGGTTTTCACAGCAAGATCGCTCATTCTTTTTACATTGTTTGCTTGCGTGGAGGGAGATAACTTTTTCTTTTTAATGATTAAAGCCATCACACCCTCAGATCCTAAATAACAGAAGTTGATGGAGATTCAGTTACTCATACTCCTCTGTCTTTATGCCAGTTTCCTTCTCCTGCTCTTCCTTACGTAGTTACGCCAGTGTTGCTACAGGTCACATGTACTTTCAGATAAGCTTCAAACTTGAAGTACTTTGAGCTTGCTGCTGCTTTCACCACATCAGCAAATCGGAATCAGTTTGTGTACTTTTTCCCTTGCCTTTTAAACAGAGTTTGTGGTAATGTCATCCTTCAAGTGGACACATCTTTTTCCTGCCGTCAGGAAGGGGAGGCGGTGGTGTGTAGTTCCAGAGAGGGGACTATAATATGAAGAACGTTGCCACTTTATGCTGCTGCTCCAGGGATGAAGGGCAGAGTAGCTTCCCGTTCCCTTCCCTGAATTAATTTCAGTGTGTTACCAGTGACACTTCAGATGCGGTGTCTCCTTTTGTCCATGACAGACAGAAGCCATCACCTCCCAATGAAATGTAGTAACAGAGGGAATGATAGTAGATGCTGCTTGTGTATATGCCTTACAGCTCTCCCAGAACATCTCTGGGAGGGTGGTGGGGGAAGAGGTCTTCATTGGGTAAATCCCACAGCTGTCAGGGAACCTCTGCTACTTTCTCCCCTCTCCAACCACATGGTCTCTGTTTCTTGGATGTACGTCTCAGGGATGTGCATATGAGCCCATGCCTTTTGGAATTTGGCCTTTGAAATATCGAGAATATGGTTTCTGTACCTGAAACCTTCCTATCGGACACTCCCTGGTCCTCTCTGTCTTGCGTTGCTCCCCGTGGCCTTAGGAACATCTCTCCGCCGTTGCCATATGCCACCCTCTCCATCTCTGCCAGTACTCGAGGTGAGGTGTATGCAGTGATTCTGCAGAGAAGGAAGCTGAAACGATGCATGTGCACCCGTGGGATTTATGCGCATGTGTGTCTTGGATTTCTGCCACACCCTGTCTAAAACACGCAGAACATCTGATGCACGATGCTTTTTCTTTCTCATCTAGAAAGCAGAACAAACAGCAGCGTGACTCTGCTGATGGTAATTCTGTAATGTTTACTTTGAATTAAATGCTAAGTATTTTCCCCAAAGAACCAAAAAACCCCACCTTCTAACACAAGTAACCAAATGCTATCTTTCTGGGGGCGGGGAGAAGAGGAAAAGCAGTGACGGGGGAGCGTTCTGATCTATTTTAATCTCCGCCGCTCGGATGGAGATGCGAAATGCTGCTTTGAGTTCCACAAACATAAGGGATTATGTTTACAAAGGTAAATGCCTTCTACCTGTTCAGGAAACTGGCTAATGGTGGGCATCAGATGCTTGGCAAGTTTCTCTTCATTGCAAACCTAGTAATGGGAGAAGGGTGCGTCTGGGAGAGGAATGGAGAAATAGATTCATTTCATCTAGTCTTCTTGGTAAAGCGATGCCGCCTTCCCCTCTCTTTACAAAATGGAGGGAAGGAGGTTGCAGAACAGAAAATCCGCGATGTCCAAAATGGCTGGATTTAGAAAAGGCAGCTTTTCTACTTTGCACATAAATAGGTAACAGGAAGGTACAGCTAAAGTCCTCTTGCCTGAAACACTGTCCCCCAGAAGCAGACGTTGTAATAATAAAAATAGTGGCTGTGTGTATATTGATGCTATTTGCAAGTTACCTGTAAGTGTTTTTTTTTTTTTTTTTTTTTTTTTTCTTATACTTGAAATGGCTTCCTTCACTAAACTCTTAACCGTAGCTCTGGTTTCTCCCCTCCTTCTCTAGCCTGCAGTAGAGAAAGATACAGGACAAACGGGGAGGACGTAGAGGAGGTGACACAGTGTCTTGCATGTCCAGGTTTCATCTTCATTTCCATCCCCCTAATGCTCACAGATGTTTGAACTTGCTAAGGGTTTTTCCATGGACACAGAAACTCGGCACTTTAGAAGGTGCTCTTGGCTGGCTGGCTGCCCCCCCCTTCTCCTCCTTTTCTATATTTTTATTTTACTTTTAGTATAGTGGTACTTAAAATCACTGGTTCACTTAAAAAGAAAAAAAAAAACAACAATAAAATGTTTAAACTCTACTAATGTACAAATAAGCTGAAATGTTGCATTTTATGTGTATTTTTGCCATAGCAGGTACTGTATTTCTCATGCTGGATTTAGAAAAAAAAAAAAGAAAAAAAAAGAAAAAAAAAAAGAAAAAAACAAACAAAAGGGTGATGTTTTATTGGAGTGTGACAAGTTAAAGAGTAATAAGGAATTAAGTCGTCGTCATTTCATTGAAACTGAGAGATGGTGTAATACTTATATAAGTTTTCTGAAGGTTTTTTTTGGGCTTTTAAACAGCTTTTTTGTTTTTATTTTATTTTTATTTTTTGAAAGAATGATTGTATTATGTGCAACTCAGTTGCTTACATTATAACTACAAAATATTTTTGGGTTCCTGGAAAAAAAAAAAAAAGAAAAAAAAAGAAAAAGACTAATAAATGTGTTTGGCTGCTAAGCATTTAATACTCGTGGTTTCTGCGCCTTTCTTCCGCCGCGCCCGCGGCCGCCCTGC